TTTTTTTTTTTTTTTTTTTTTTTTTTTTTAACATAAACATAAATGAGATTCAACTAGAAAACATATACATGGTTTCGCCACTCACTGTGAGCGCGAAAAGAGCTTAGGTGAGACATGCCTCACTCTTACAAAAGATGATAAAGAGAATATAATAGGAACTGGGCTTTGGTGAGAGCACATGGAAACCTCACCAAAATACAAAAAATAACAGAAGACTGATTTAAGGTCCACACATCACCAAAATACATATGGAAAGTAAAGTGGAACACTCTCACTTCAAGAGCAAACATCCCAGGAACAGAATCAGCTCCAGAAAACATAGCAGACACCAATGTATGCATATGAACCGAAAACACCGTGCCAGCAGATTCACCAAGCAGCAAGGAGGATCGCCACAGCCAGCAAACAATAGTCATGCTGATGCTACAGTAAATTGGCATCCAAGAAAACGCCCAGATCATCCAATAGTCTGGACCAGCACCACTTCCGAAGCAGCAATTCCAAAGGACACCGAAGCCAAGCTGGCCAAAAAACGAAAAAACGGACAGCGCCAGAAAATCGAAGGGAAGAAAAATAAATTTTAAACAATTACATACCCGATAGAGGGGACCCCTCAACCTCAGATACAACCGATCCTGATACACGATGAAGGATGCCATAACCCGCAGAGAATAAGATAGCGGCTGAGTTCTGTTTCTCTTGTTGATTTTCTGGTCATCAATAGCAGCATAGAACAGCAGCGGATGACCAGAAGAAACAACAAAAGGAACAGAAAGAGTGCCATCCGCTACCTCCTCATTTGAAGATCGCACAAACAGCAAGACGACAGAAATCCCATAGGAACCACTGGCTAGGTGAGCCCCTGAACAGCAGTCCAATCCAGCACCCAACAAACCAAAACAAAAGTAAAACTTTATTATACCCATTAGTGGCTTCTGACATAAGAAAAACCCATCTTGTCGCGCCACAAAAGGTGCTGAATGTGCCTAGGAAGAAGAGCAGCATCAAAAAACTTTGTAATTTGGGGGAGATCGTGGCCTAGCTTAGATAGAGCATCTGCAACAAAGTTAGATTCTCGCATACAATGAAAAACATGTATATTACGCAAATTAAAATTCATGGACTTCCACTTGTTGTGCAATTGCCAGATCGGGCATGCTTGACCTATGCTCTTGACTAAGGAAACGGAGTCAGAATAGGCAGTGGTAGGTTGTAAGTTCATCTGATTGATCAGATCAGCCCCAACGTCTAAAGCGTTCACTTCACTATTAAAACCAGTTCCCTCCCCCGAAGGGCCGGCAAAAGCACAAATCAAATTTCCCAAGTGGTTACGAATAACCCCCCCAATCGCCGTTTGATTTTGGCGGCAAGATCCATCCGTGTTTAGGGCATATGAATTCTGCCGTGGGGGGGTCCAAGCATGCAAGGAAATTCGTTTGGCTTTTGGGCTTTTGGGGGTGATGCCTATAGTTTGCAGCGAGTCAATCCCATATTTGCACGACTGCATAGAAGGAAAAACAATAGCATCCAAATGTTGAAGAGTGTCGATTATAACCATTCTCGCATGCATATGGTCCTTCTTCATACCACCATAAATAGAATTGTTTCTGTAACTCCATATTTGTCTACAAATAGCAATGCAAGCAAGCCTACCCATTATGGAGAAGTGAGATTTACCTTTACAGATGCGAAACCACCATTTAATGCGCGTGGTTATAGATTGAGCAGGGAGATAAGGAACAGCAAAAATGATGCTGAAATAGGTCCATAGAGATTGGGCAAGATCACTATCAACAAACAGATGTTCAATAGACTCAGATTTGTGGTTAAGACAGCAAACACATTTTGACGCCAAAGCAATGCCATTATGTTGAGCTTTCATGTCCACAGGGAGGATATTATGAAATATCTTCCAACAAATTAATTTAGCCGAAAATGGAGTGACAGTGGACCATATGTCAGCGAGAATGGGAATAGTAGGATAATGCCCACGAATAGATTCCCACGCCGATTTAACCGAGAAGGAACCAGATTTTTCAGGGGCCCAATGCCTAATATCATCATTCTCCGTCAGCCTAGGAGCATGGTCGTATAAAGCCTGCACTACATCAGTCCCAAGTGTAGGAATAAGATTGCCAAAACACCAATTACCTTCATGACAAAAATCCCTAAGTTTCATGTGGATATCCTCATAAGGACTGAGGCGATCCAAAAGAAGCTCCGGGTGCCATTTGTCATACCAAAAAGATACATTACCCTTACCAATAGTCCACCCACACAGTTGCGAGAAGACTTGTTTAATAGCAAGAATTTTCTTCCATTCCGGGGAGCATCTAATAGGGCCATTCCATTCAGAAGGAGAGGGAGGAATGGAGTATTTTTCATGCATGAAAGCAGCCCAGATTGAAGAATTATTACATATATTCCAGCAGTGTTTAAGACGAAGGGCACTGTTAACATCAGTTAATTTACGAATCCCAAGCCCCCCTTCAGACATAGGACGACAGAGTTTATGCCAGGAAATCCAATGTTTTTTGTGGCCAAACTCCGAGGATCCCCAGAAAAAATTAGCAAACAGACTTTCAATTTTAGAGAGGACAGATTTAGGGATAGAGATGGCAGAAAGAAGATGGATCGGCATGCTCGATAGGACGTGTTTTATCAAAATGAGTCTACCCGCTTGGCTAAGAAGTTTTCCTTGCCACCCTTGGAGGCGGACTTTAATCCTATCAACAAGAGGGAGGAAAGGAGCAGCTTTACGTTGACCAGGGCCAATCGGAACTCCAAGGTAAGTCATTGGAAAAAGGCCACGGATGAAATGAAGAGTGTTGTCAATAACTCTTATGCGCTCACGGGGAGCTTTAGACTTAATGTAGTATCGACATTTGGCTAGGTTTAGTTGTTGACCAGAACTTTGAGAATAAAAATCAATGATCTTCAAAATGAGATTAAGGGATTTGCGCGCTGCATTGGTAAAAATGATCAGGTCATCCGCAAAAAGAAGGTGAGAGGGACACGTGGCCTTGGTAGTGGAAAACCTCGCGTCAAAAGATATCATGTTCTCAAGACCACGGGAGAGGGCTTCCTCAGCTAAGATGAAAAGACTGGGGGATAGAGGGTCTCCTTGACGGAGACCCCTAGAACTACTAAAGAAACCCTTGTATATCCCCTGAAAAACGACAGAGAAGTTACAATGGCAAATACAGGCTTTCATGATGTCAATCCAAGCCTCAGAGAAACCAAAGCGAGACAGAACCGACCATAGAAAATCCCATTCAAGGCGGTCATAAGCTTTGTTCATGTCAAGATTCAGAATAATGTTTGGATGTTTGGATTTTTTATCAAGATCTCTGCATATTTCTTGGGTCAAGCTGATATTGTCTGAAATGTTCCGGCCTTTGACGAAAGCACCTTGATTAGACGATATGATGGTAGGAAGGATCGTGGCTAATCTAGCACATAAAGCCTTGGCAAAAATTTTGTACAAAGAACTACAAAGGCTAATGGGCCGGAAATCATTAAGGGAGTTCATTTGCTGTTTTTTAGGAATAAGCACGAGGATAGTGTGGGTAAGGCTAGTCGGAAGTTTTTTGTGCAGAAGAAAATCATTTGCAGCTTCAAGAATAGAATTACCGACGATACTCCATTGGGAAGTGAAGAAAGAAGAGGAGAAACCATCGATGCCAGCAGCGCTATCAGCTGGAATGGAGGAGGCAGCGCTAGCTAATTCGTCGATGGAAAAAGGAGCAATGAGGAAAGCATTAGTAACATCCTGAATCGAGGGTGGAATCAGGCTCAACAATTCTTCCCGCACACAATGAGGCTCAGAGGACAGAAGACTGGATAGATGGTTAATAGCCGCCTGATGAATAGCAGCGGGACCTTGGAAAGTTTCCCCATTCAGACCCTTAAGAGAAGAAAGCTGAAACAGACTCTTATTACTCCGAACCATACCATGGAAAAATTTGGAATTAGAGTCCCCTTCCTTAAGCCATCTAATACGCGATTTTTGTACCATGGAAAAATTTGGAATTAGAGTCCCCTTCCTTAAGCCATCTAATACGCGATTTTTGTTTCCAGAATATTTCCTCCCGGATAACAATTTCATGCCATTTAGCTTTTATAGACTGCAGCTCAGAATGAGAGGAGTGGTCCCATTGAGCCTGAAGGGAGGATTCAATTCGAAGAATATCGTTTTCAAGATCCTTCTTATGAGTGAAAATATTGCCAAAAATGGTGGAATTCCATTGTTTTAGGGCATATCGGAGGGACTTGAGTTTCATGCAAATATCAATGATGGGAGGGTGAGACCGAGGACGTTGCCAAATATGAAGGACCTGAGCTTTGAAGGATTCATGCCGAGTCCACATTCTCTGAAATCTCCAAAGCCTAGGACCTTCATAAGATTGATTACTCCAAGAGAGAATGATAGGGGAGTGATCAGAGAAAGATCTATGGAGAGCATGGGCAGACAGGTTCCCCGAGATCAACAAATCCGAGGATTGGAAGAATCTGTCAAGAGTTTGCCAAGTGCGGGGCCTACTCTCAAAGTTATTGCACCACGTATATTTATGGCCCGATGTGCTGACAGGGGCCATGTGGCAGTCATTGATACAAGCATTGAATTCCTCCATAGCTAGGGGTTGAGGAGGGGCTCCTCCAATACGATCCTCAATGGAAGAAATGGTATTAAAATCCCCTCCCCACAACCAAGGCCCGACATTGATAGAGTTAATGAAACGAAGGTGGTCCCACAAAAGACGACGGCGTTGAACAGTATGTTTACCATAAATCGCCGAGAGAGAGAAAGAGAAGGAAGGCAGAGACACTGAAATGGAGATGCATTGAGTGTCTATGCGGATAGGCTGGACAAGAATACTCGGACGCCACAAAATCCAAATTTTACCCCCAAGGTCTTCATTGGATAACCAGTTTGACGATTCGCAGAAAAAGTGGAATTTCCTAATGAACGTGGTCGAAACAATGGGTTCAATAATGATGAATAAAAAAGGGTTGTGTTCGGCAATTAATTGTCTACAGAAACCAAAAGTGCCAGGGTTAGCTATCCCTCTGGCATTCCAACAAACGATTTTGTGATTATTCATTAAAGATCCGTGACAGGGTTTCTGGCCCTGAGCTGGACATTAAGAGGGGTGTCGGGTAGTCTTTTGTTTTTTTTGGAAGTCTTTTGGTGATTTTGGAGGATGTCATCAGTGTTATGACCTAGAGAGTGGGAGGGCTCAACATTTTGTTCTTCACCCTCGGAGACAGTTTGGGCAGAAAAAATATTGTTTCCTTCTTGGCCCAAAGGAGAGTTTGGTTGAGAGTCCATCGCTATAGAGGATCCTGAGTCCGATTCCACAGGGGAAGAGCTATGGATGTCAGAAGATTGGGGGAGGGCTATAACAACCGCACTAGTGGAAGGGGGCATGGCCTTACTCGCCACTGTCGATGAAATAGCAGGGGTATTAGAGACAGGTCCAGAGGTAAGAGAGGTTTGGATGACAACCTCTTTTGGGGTAATGCATGTTTGATCAATGGAATCTAATTTATGAGAAACAGACTCGAAGAAAACTTGATTAGCACTAACATTAGTTTGTTTATTTTTAAAACGAACTGATTTTCTCTTTTGATTCTTAGAAAGAGATTTCGAAGGAGAAAGGGGTTGGTTATGACAGAAAGATGGTTGGGGATTAACATTAGTTGGAATATCATCCAGGGTTGGAACTAAAACTGGTTGATGCAGCACAGGAATGAGCTGATGCTGCTGGTTTTGGGGGACATGGATCATAACTTCAGAGTCCGCTAGCGGGAGGGAGGGGGCAGCCGACGACGAGGGGCCTGACGATGATTGGGCTGGAATAGAAGAGGATGGGGGTTTAACGAGGATATTTGGGGGAACAGGAAGGGATGCTGAAAGAGGCTGGTTCTGCCCACTGACATGCTGCGAAGACCCACTAACATTCTTCCGAGGGGGATGAGGACGCTTGGGTGGTTGATGAGCAAGGACAGGGGCTAAGAGTTGAGGAATAACAGGGATACTTTTATGACAAGACACAGATAGATGACCCTGAGAGTAACAGTTATTGCAAAATTTTGGGAGTTTTTCATATAAAATCGGTTGATCAAAACCTTCATAAAGGCCAATCCAAATAAATTGAGGCGGGGGTTTACGGAGGTCAATTTCAACACAAAGACGGGCTGCGCTCGGCCTAGCAAGAGTGGCTGTAGCTAAGTCCAAGCACAAAAAACGTCCAATTTTATTTGCAACAGTTCTTAGAAATTCAGGAATAAAACACTGAAGTGGGAGATTCGGAAATGAGATCCAAACAGGGGCGAAACATGAGTCCTCTTTAATATGACAGAGACCGTGCCACCTAAAAATTTTATAGGGGAAAGTAATCAGGGTGGACGATGCTCTAGATAGGACTTTTAGGAGGTCTATTTCATTTTGAAAACGTAGCAGAAAAGCTCTCGATGACAGGGGGCCAATAGAGAAAGGGTGATCAATTCCCCAACTCATAATTTCTTTGTGACCAGCATCAAGAGACGGACGGCCACCCAGAAATTTCATAACCAGCGCATTATCATACAATTTCTCAATTTTAGAGAGCTCTGAATTGACAAAGGAAAAGGAGAGTTTACCATCCTTTGTGCCACTTATGATGTTTGAACCTGTTTCTGGAAGGCGAGCAAAAGATGCCACCTCTTGAGCATGATTTCTGAATTTCGCGAGCAAAAGAGGCGTTCAGTCATAATCCGGCACACGGTAGCTTCGCGCCACTGGCTTTTCAACCAAGCGCGATGAC